CTTTTACCTCTTTGCAATATTCCCCGCGTCAGAATCAAATATCCTTGAATACCTCCAGCAATTAAAATTAATTCCATGAAATCCATTTCCAAGTGAAGAGTCACGACTACAGTAAACTAGTGTCTGAACCCAATTACAAGGATTGCGTCTTTTCATCGCAAACGTGGAAATTTCGCGAAAACGCGAGAACGCGAGGTTGAAAGAGCAACGGGAGGAATTCGGCGAGTTTGTCAGCGAAACATAATTTGCCCTTCGCCAACGCGATGGCACCGCGAGGAAATTATAATCGATATTGGCTGGCGGTGCGCACCAACACGTAGTCAAGGGTGCGTTGACTCCTCAGAAGTCAACACAGAATCTGTGTTGCGAGCCCGACGAACATCGCCGACCAATATTTGCGTCAATTCGTGAACGCTCGCTGCCAGAGAATTACGTAACCGAGGACGAGCTAGCCTTCCTCTCCTTCTCCTTGTCCAACAGATCGAAATCATTCTCTTATTTAAACGCTTTCTCTGTATGATTGATTCTGCGTAAAGAATTATTTAATCGAGAGTGAAAGCAGTGAGAAACTCGGATGCTGGAAGGAGGAAGTGATTGGCTTGGTAGTTCAATTTCATAAATAATCTGTTTTTAGATAATTTCTTACGGCGTAGAAATTTATATCAATTTACAGTGACCAATTTATCGAAGCTTCATCTATGATTCCTCGTTAAACACCAAATGTTCCCACTGAAATTGAAATTGCAACTTCTGAGTCTGTTTCCACCAGCAACATTCAACTTCAAAGACACGTAAATTATTTTTGAAACACATTCAACGAAACGAAGCTCTGATATCAAGAAGGAAATGAAGCTCCGATACTGTCGTGTTACATTCGAACAGACGCGTGTATCTGCTGGCTTGACAAACTTGATTATAGGAAAGATGAGCATTTAACAATCAGACATCGATTTCATCAAACGTCCGAAACCATTGTTATCTCCAGTTTTATTATACTTGCAATTGTAGGGTATCACGAGCCATTTTGGCATCCAAAAACGTCGTTTTATCGCTAAATCATCGAAATGATTTTTCAGATAATCAGCGACATGGCCAGCAGACATTACGTGACGAACGGGCGGCTGCGATTCAGATTCGTGCAGGTATTCTTCAACGCTGTCGCGTTGTTGATCATCGCCGGTGGCCTGACCATTTACTTCAAGTGTAAGTAGACACGCAGGCCGCTTTGTCATACTTAAAACGTATCGCGTAACCATTTGTCGACGACACGCGGCGCTACTTGCGCCACGCAGTAAGCTGTAATCGCAATGAATCGCCGATGAAACGTGTCGGCCGGGACCGTTATTGCGCGATCGTCGGTGACAAACGTAAATGTTGGTGACGTTAGGTGGCATAATGCACGAGCACGTAGCACGAGGAGCTTTGTGGTAGCGGAAGATCAATAGAGCTCCCAGTTCCCGTGCGTGCTACTTGCTTTCAAACATCAACACCGGCTTCGGCTGTGCAACTTTGTTCCGTGCATCCGTCGTTTTCTATTGGTCCTTCCTCTTCCCCTCTCCCTCCATCGCATCGATCGATACCCTCTGGATCGATTGATTTCAATTTGTTGTAATTTCAATTTGTTGCTGACCGGAGGAAGAGAATTAAGAACATTGATGAAACTCGCCAGGTGGAATTGTATTGATTTAAGGAATGATTCCGTTCTATTCGCTGCTGGAACCTTCAGTCCTTCGAACACAGTAATTTCTTTACTTGTAAATCCATTATTTCCTTAACCCTTTCGGTACGAGCGCCGGATATATCCGGCATCCATCAGATGACCTGTGTGTACTTATATAATTCTAGTGTTACTTGTATAATTAACAGAATTTAATATAAATGTCTTTTAATATTAAAACTAACGACATTTGTTAAAAGAAACTGTTTTATTAAGCACAGTTCTTACTTGACGCTAAGGAAAATCTTTATACACAAGAGAACTGACCACGCGCTCTCGTACAGCGGGTGTATCGAAAGGGTTAATGTAGTGCCATTTTCGTTCGAAATAATTAGAAATTACATCGCGACTACGAGGACTGAGATTCACCTCATTGACTAATGTTACAATTATAAAAGAACAGATTAACGTAACGAGGAATATCCCAGTTGAATGTTATTTGATAATTCCCGATCTGAATCGAAATTACATACAGCGGGCCAGAATCAATTTGTCTTTGTTAATTAGAAAAGACTTTGGTTAGAAAGTGATCCAGTTAACTGGTTAAATTAATAAAAAAATGTCTTGTTATCTAACTGTTGTTTAGTAATTTTCGATCTGCCGTGCGACTAAATACACGATGTGTAATCGAAAATAGAAAATCGCGCAGTGGAATCGTGTTGATTTACGGGACATTTGCTCGCGAAGAGAAGGTTTCAGTTTATCTCGCGAGAATGTTGGTGGAAGAAAATTCCTGAAAGTTCCTGAAAGACTGGTCGGCAATGTGTAGCGGTGCAGAATGACAGAGGGCACTCGAGCGTATGAAATCCGTGTCGTACAATACTTTCCTCGCAGCATCCATTAGACGCGCGTTGATCAAAGGGAACGTGGTAAAAATGTGGTCCCGACAGAATATCAAAGGTTCGCGGTACAAAGTCAATGATCAGTTGTCTGATTCAGTCAGCCGAGTTTTCTAGGTGTCACGAATTAATTCTAAAGTTAATATTAACCCGTCAAAAATGAAGAACGAGAATCAAGTTTTGTCGAAGTATTATAAAAACATCATATCCACAATCTGCTTTTTTAACGCTATGGAAATCCCGAGGATTCGTTCGAAATTCGTTCTCTGTTTCTTCTTCTTCTTCTTCTTCAACCTGTCGATTTTATGAAGGAAACAAGTCAGAGAATTTGTAGTATGTGTTACGAAACTTGTCGTCGGTTTTTAAGAAGCCAACTTCGATATACATAATATTTTAAAAAATGCCTGTCAATTTTTATGGAAAACAGAAGTCAGAGAGTTTGTAGTATGTCGTTGTCGTTTAACACTAAACGTACCGGTCTATTACATATACCTATGTTACCATAAGGGGTCAAATGACCCCTCGCGGTACATA